TTAGATGATTCTCTGGTGGTTTGAAAAGGTCAGAGCATCTCCTAAAAGTGCCAGAATTTTTTTCCACTGAGAACATCTGACTTCAGCTTTTTAATTTGGGGGAAGTAACAGAAAACTTGACAGAATGGAGAAGATAGGGTGTCACCTATTTCTCTTTAGGTGAAGAAATGGTCATAGCCAGGGCTGGCAGATGGCATGGTGGTTAAGGATGCTGGACTTCCACATCACCAGCCGCGGTTCAAGTCCTAGACCTAGTGGCTTGTTTTCTCACTTTCTCTCTCTCTCTGTGTCCCTCTCTGGTTAAGGTAGAAAGAGAGAAAGAAAGAAAGAAAGAGAGAGGGAGGGAGGGAGGGAGGGACTTAAATGAAATAATTCTTTAAAAAAGAAAGAAAGAAATGGTCACAGCCTTTTGATAGGTAAAAAGACATAGGAAGAATTTTTTTCAAGGTATATCCTGTTATTAACTAGCTCCATTTACTATATTATGATCAATCTTGTGTTTAAGCATAATATAATTTAGGACTGACCAAATGACCCCATAGCTTACTGGTTAAGGACATTAGATCTCACATGGCTGACCGTGGTTGAATTCCCAGCTCTAGAGTCTGAAAAACCACACTGGAGGGCCCAGCAGATGGCATGGTGGTTAAAGCACTGGACTCCCACATGGCCGACTGCTATTCGAATCCCGAATCTGGCAGCTTGCGTTTTCTCCCTCTCTCTCTCTAGCCAAATTAAAAAAAAATAATAAAGTAATTCTCTAAAATATATATATGTGTGTGTGTGTGTGTGTGTGTATATATATATATATATATATATATATGTAGTAGAGGTTTTTGCTATAGGGTGTGTGCGCTTGCCAGAGAGAGGCAGAGAGACAGAAAGCAAGAAATCACCCCCCGGGGGGATGGCCATGCCACAATCCCTTCTTCTCCATTCTCCTCTCAGGATCTTGGGCACGCACGCACATACGCCCGGCGTGAGTTTAAGCCACCAGATCTGGAGCTCGAACTGCGGTTGACTACATGGGAATTCAGTGACATAGCCATTACGCTAACTGCTGGTCCCCAAAAATATTTTTTAATAAAAGCACTAGTATGTGTGCCTATAATCCCAAGAGGAAGGAGAAGTAAAGAGAAGGGATTGCAGCATGGCCACGCCCTACTGAGGTGCTTTCTCCCTCTCACCTCTCCCTGATGAGCTCATGTGCCCTCTGGCAATTAAACAAACTTTAACAAAGTAATTTTGTCATCATTTCCCTGTCTAAAGTATAATACATCCAGTGAGATTGCTCACACTCTGAATAAGGCAGCTAGCCCTTAAATTATTTCTGCACTGTCACTCATATTCTGCACAGGCAATTGAAAGCCACAGTGATCCAAGCACTGTATTTCTCAGTTCCTTCCCCCTCTTAGATTTTGCTTAAGCTATCAATTAAAAGCTACACTTTAAAAAAAATTGTTGCTATAGGATACTTGTGCTTTCCAGAGACACAGAGAGAGACAGCACTCCCCTGTGGAATGGCCATGCTGCAATCCCTTCTCTGTTCTCCTCTTGGGGTTTTGGACATGTACACGAGCATGCCCGGCTTTTCCTCAAGCCACCAGGTCCAGGACTTGAACCACACAGTCAGCCGTGTAGGATCCAACCACCTTAGCCACAACACCAAAGACTGCCCACAAACATTTTATTTTTAAGGTTTTTTTTTTTTTTTTTTGGAGAGGTTTTTGCTATAGGGCGCGTGTGCTCGCCAGACAGACAGAGAGAGAAAAAGAGACAGAAAGCGAGAAATCACCCCCCAGGGGGGATGGTCACGCCACAATCCCTTCTCCTCCATTCTCCTCTCGGGATCTTGGGCACGCACGCACACGCCTGGCATGAGTTTTAAGCCACCAGGTCCGGGACGCGAACCGCGGTCGACTATGTGGGAGTCCAGGGACATAGCCATTACGCTAACTGCTGGTTCCCTATCCCCGCTACTTTTAAAATGTGCCCTCCGCTGGTAGAAACCAAGCTCCCACCATGTTCTACAGAGTAAACTAATCAGACAGAATCAAATTCGGTGGTATGCAGAGTCCATTAATAAAAGTTGCAACATTGACTCAAAGTAATATTCACAGTAATAGTAAGGCCACAAAAAATTTGAATCCAGGGGGCCAGCAGGTGGCATGGTGGTTAAGGATGCTGGACTCCCACGTGGCTATGATTCGAGTCTCAGACCCGGCAGCTTGCTTTCTCACTTCCTCTCTCTTTCTGTCTCTGTCTCTCTCTCTGTCTTTCTCTGATCAAATTGAAATTAATAATAATAAATTAAAATAAATAAAATGATTCTTTTTTAAAAAATGAATTCCAACACCTTCTTCCTTCCTCGTTCTATAATTTAGGTAGAAATACAGGGCTTTTTTTATTTTGTTTTTCCAGAGAGTTTTTTGCTATAAGGCATGTGCACTCGCTGGGAAGACAGAGAGCCAGAAAGTGAGAAACCACCCCCGCTAGGGAGGATAGCCATGCTGCAATCCCTTCTCCTCCATTCTCTGCTCGGGATTTTGGACACGCACACACACACACACACACACACACACACGGTGTGAGTTTAAACCTCCAGGCCCAGAACTCGAACCACGTTGAATACCTGGGAGCCCAGAGATGTAACCATTTGCCATCTGCAAATCCCCACAAGGCATTCTTGAGAGAAAGGGCTGAACTTGGTTCCTGGGATAATATAGTATGATATTTAGTTCTAGTGACTAAGAGAGAGAGCATTAAGCAAAGGAATTTTAGTGTTTTGTTTTTGTTTTGGAGAGGTTTTCGCTATAGGGCGCATGCGCTCACCAGACAAAGAGAGACAGAAAGCCAGAAATCACTCCCCAGGTTTTTCCCATGAAGAGCAGCAGAATTCAGCTTGCGTACAGCAACGCCCGTGTACACCGTAACTTCTCAGTCTGTGTGATTTAAGGCAGGTAATGGCGAGAGCCTGATTGTTTTTTGTTTTAAATTGAATATGCTCTTTTAAAAGTGTTTTCTGTTATTACATCTTAGCTTAATAACAATTTTAAGCTCCTTGAAATTTTGATCATTTTTAGATTAGCAACTGGAATGCCACTTAATACATCACTTAATGGAAACAAAAGAGTGCGATATCGTATCTCTAATTTTATTTTTAAGTTTTCGTATGAAGGAGGATTAGCAGGGAACTTCCATTGGGAATTAAAAGTTCATGTGTGTGGGTGCTGCAACCATAGGTAGCTTTTCTTTCTTTTTTGTCTTACTGTATTTTCCTTATTGTTATAGGATGTTATTTATGTAATAACTAAAATTTAGGGATGGGAGAGAAAATCTGGGATTTGTAGTTATCCTTGAATCTTGGGATTTCTCATACTGTGACAAGCCCTATGCCCTTACTGTTGGACGGTATTCAGCCTTGACCTCTAAGTAGCCTGGAAAGGTAGGAGTGGGAGCAGGCGGTATCCCTGGCGAGCTCCTGAAGCCAGCCTGCAGTTAATGCTCCACACGCTACTTTCTGAGTGATATTGGAGGAATATAGGGTTGAAAGACCTCAAAGCACTATCCTTTCCCTTGTGGTGATTTGGGAAGCAGTTTAGCAGAGTAGCTAAGAGCGTCTGTGGACTTTACTGTCAGACATGCTTGAAGGTTTTTTTTTAAAGAATTACTTATTATTGTCATTTTTTTTTGGGGGGGGAGAAGTTTTTGCTACAGGGCACATGCGCTCCCCAGAGAGACAGAAAGCAAGAAATCACCCCCCAGGGAGGATGGCCACGTCACAATCCCTCCTCCTCCATTCTCCTCTCGGGATCTTGGGCACACACACACACGACCAGCATGAGTTTAAGCTACCGGGTCCAGGACTCGAACCGTGGTCGACTACATGGGAGTCCAGCGACATAGCCATTACACTAACTGCTGGTCCCATTGTCACTATTTTTTAAAGAATTATTTTATTTAACTTGATTGATTGATTGATTGATTGATTGGTTTTTATTTTTATTTGACCAGAGAGGGACAAAGAGAGAGAGAGAGTGTGTGTACGAGAGGGGGAAAGTAAGAAAGTACGCCACCAGGTCCAGGACTCGGACCATGGTTGGCCATGTGGGAGTCCAGTGCCATTGACCACCATGCCACCTACCATGCCACCTGCTGGCCCTGTCACTATTTTTTAACTTTGCTATAGGGCAGGCGAACTCACCAGAGAGAGTGAGAAAGAAAGCCTTCAGATCTGGGACTCGAACTGTGGTCAACTGTGTGGGAATCAGTATCTTAACTACCATAGCACCTACTGGCCTAGGTGTGCTGGAGTTTGAATTTCACATTTGTCAAGTGCCCACTAAATGTAGCTATTGGGTCTTTGGGAAAGTCATGATGAATTTTTGCATAGAAAAGCATAGATAAATATGTCGTCACTTTTTCAACAACCCAATATTTTTATCTCACTTCATTTTCCCTACCTCCTAGACTTAGGAGCTTTGCTAAGGGTCCCCTTCACTTCCCCTCCCTTCTCTTCCCTTCTCTTCTCTTCTTTTCTCTTCCTTTTTCTTTTCTTTTCAAAGAGGTTTTTGCTATAGGGCGCACATGCTCACCAGGGAGACAGAAAACGAGAAATCACCCCCCCAGGGGAGATGACCACACTGCAGTCTCTTCTCCTCCATTCCCCTCTAAGGATTTTGGGCACATCTGCACACGTGCCTGGCATGAGTTTTAAGCTGCTGGGTCTGGGACTCGAACTGCAGTTGGCCATGTAAGAGTCCAGCGATGTAACTATTATGCCATCTGCTGGTCCCAGCTGGGAGTCTTTTCTGGGCATATCCATTTATTTAGATCATTTTAAAATTTTGCTCCTGCAGATAATAATAGGAATTTCCAGTCATTTTCCGTAAGTTGCATTAATCTGAAATCTATTGATTGAGGATCACCTGCTTCCTTAGTAGAAGCTGTTCTTTCTCCGTTTCTGCTTATTGAAGTGACCTTCTTCTTTTCCTTTCCAGATATACGTAATTGACAGTGCAGACAGAAAAAGATTTGAAGAGACGGGTCAGGTAAGTAAGCCTTCTGTAGCGAGACTGTCCAGAAAACCAGGTGTTCATTAACCTACCTTGTAAATGTGTAAAATAAGGGAGAGATTTTGTTTAACTTTTATAGTTCAAACAAGGCAGTCATTCTGCCCAGCTGGCAGAAATGCCAGTTCAGAGTCCTTTAAACAAACTGAGTAGACAAATACAAGCAAATAGAATTTAGCACCATACCCTAAAGCTCCTCCAGTTTCTTGCGAGTCCACAGAAAGGACTCCAGAGGAACAGCTCACTTATCATTTCTGTTTATGGTTTGCAATACCTACTTTACCGATCCATATTAACTGGCCAGTTTGAAGGGACAGGAAGAGAAGTATAAGCTAAAACGAAGCTGCTTCTATATTCAAGCAGGGAGAGAGGTATCGCATAAATTTAAATATGGTTCAAATGCAGGGGGTGTGTCACCATGACTCCATGATGTGATTTGTGTGTATGATTTTACACAAATAAGCAGTAGGCATAGGCATTTTTAAAATTATTAATTTTATTTATTTGTTTGTTTGTTTATTATTAAATTTGACCAGAGAGAGACATAGAGAAAGAGGGAATGAAAAGGCAAGCCACCAGGTCTGGGACTCGAACCGTGGCCAGCCATGTGGGAGTCCAGCACCTTAAACACCACACCACCTGCCAGCCCCTGCAGAGGCATATTATGCGGCATGTACAGAGCCGGTTCACTAACAGGAGAAGTCAGGCTGGAGTGGACCCTTAGAGAAGTGTGCTTAGGTCTCATTGTGGAGTCTTGGCCTGTGTTCTGAACAGGTGGCCTTCAAAGGTGGCAGTACCCATGTTTATTCCCTTCCTCTTGAAAATTGGGTTGAGAACTCTCCAATATCCTGGAGACAACCCCTCCCCCTTCCATGCCGGTGATTTCTGGGTCATCGCCTGTGTGAGCCAGTGCTGGACATGAGCCTGGGCGTGGAGGGGTCCTGCAGAGTCACCTGCCTCTTGAACCATCCAGTTCCTTTTGAAAGCTCAAGTGTTTTAAGTAGCTAACATGTGGGTTTAATGGGGAAGAGGTGGGGCCTCTCATTTCGGCAAGTATGTACCCTTTTCTATACCTACTGCAAACAGCATCAACATACAGGTTAGACCCCAGCCTATAACCTACTAATCAGGAACCTTGCCAGATGAGCTTGTTACTTTAGGATGTGGGTTAGATGAAATGGAATACATGTGCATACATATTTTCAAGATAAGATTGATGAGACAGAATTTTAATCTGTAAAGCAATTGTCATTTTCAGTTTAAATTTTTTTTTTTTTTTGAGAGAGATTTTCGCTATAGGGCGCGTGCGCTCGCCAAACAGACAGAGAGAGACATAGAGACAGAAAGCAAGAAATCACCCCCCAGGGGGGATGGTCACGCCGCAATCCCTTCTCCTCCATTCTCCTCTCGGTATCATGGGCACGCGCGCACACGCGCCCGGCGTGAGTTTTAAGCCACCGGGTCTGGGATGCGAACCGCGGTTGACTACGTGGGAGTCCAGCGACATAGCCATTACGCTAACTGCTGGTTCCCTTCAGTTTAAAATTTTTATACATATATATATATGATATATATATATATATATATATATCATATATATATATATACATACACCCACACATATATTAAAAAATACTTGCAGATAGTAACCAGGACCAGCGGATGGTGTAATGGTTATGTTGCTGGACTCCCACATAGTTGACTGCTGTTTGAGTCCTGGATCTAGTGGCTTAAAATTCATGCCAGGAACATGTGTGTACATGCCCAAAATCCCGAAAGGAGAATGGAGAAGGGATTATAGCTTGGCCATCCCCCTGGGGGATGATTTTTCACTTTCAGTCTCTCTGGCAAGCACATGTGTCTTATAGCAAAAAAATTGTCTTAAAAAAATTATTTGCAGGTAATAACCTTGGATAAGTTTTAAATCTCTAAACACAAGTTATGGTCTCCCTTTTTTTGGGGGGGAGGTTGTTTCTATAGGGCGCGTATGCTCACCAGAAAGAGAAAAATAGAGAGACAAAAAGTAAGAAATCACCCCCCCCAGGGGGTATGGCCACGCTGCAATCCCTTCTCCTGCATTCTCTTGGGATCTTGGGCATGCACGCACACACGCTCAGCATGAGTTTAAGCTACCAGGTCTGGGACTTGAAACGCAGTCGACTACATAGAAGTCCAGCGACATAGCCATTACACTAACTGCTGGTCCCTAGTCTCTCTTGAGCAGTGTTTCTCATATACAATCTGTGAATCACCCATAGCAGAATCACCTGGAAGTTCTGTTAAAAATGCAGAGTCCAGGACCAGCAGATGACATAGTGGTTACATTGCTAGACTCCCACATGGCCAACCATGGTTCAAGTCCCAGACCTGGTGGCTTAAAAATCACACAGGGCACGTATACGTGTGTGCCCAAGATCCCAGGAGAAGAATGGAGGAGAAGGGATTGTAGCGTGACCTTCCCCCAGGGAGTGATTTCTCACTATCCCCCTCATTGTCTCTGTCTGTCTCTCCGGTAAGTGCACGTACCCTAAGGCAGAAACCTCATTTTTTTTTAAAAAAAATTTAAATTCCTAAGCCCTGGCTTAGACTTTCAAAGTCAGTATCTTAACTGGGCCCAGGAATCAGCCAGGGGGTTTTTCCACAGGCTCGAGTTATGAAACTCCCCACTCTTGAGAGTTGCTAGTCGATCGGCTTACCTGTTAGTTTTTCCCCATTAGAAGTGCGTGATTAAATATCGTGAACATCATCCTTCCCTCCCTTCCTCTCTGAAACGCTCCAGGAACTAGCCGAACTGCTGGAGGAAGAGAAGCTAAGTTGTGTGCCAGTGCTCATCTTCGCTAATAAACAGGATTTGCTCACGGCGGCCCCCGCCTCTGAAATCGCAGAAGGCCTGAACCTGCACACCATCCGCGACCGCGTCTGGCAGATCCAGTCTTGCTCAGCTCTCACCGGAGAGGGCGTCCAGGTGAGATTACAGGAAGGCTTAGTCACCTGGCAACATGGCGGCCAACAAAGGTGGGCTGTCTCGGTTAGGCGGATCTGATGTGAAACAGGTCGCCTTTGATGGGCAGGTGAAGCATTTAGGATGTGAAGGGCGTGGAGGGATTTGGTTCTTTCCTGCTTCACAGTGATCAGCTATCATGAGTATTCCCCGAAAGCCACAGGTAACCCTCCCCACACATGCAGCAAGCTTTCCTGATGGGCTGGGTGTCAGAACAGGAGGCTCTGAAGTGTGCTTCTAACTCCAGGACTTTTCGATGACTGGGTTCGGGTTTTGTGTTCTGTCTCATCCACGGATGCTGAATACCCATGCTCCCACGGCGTGGCCGGCAATAATCAGGCACACACTAGTCATCTTCGAAGTGCTTTGGTTTCTGCTGTTGGTTGCTGCCTGCGCCGTGGGGCTGGTGTGTTTCCTGCTCCATCAGTTCGGTTTCCCACCAGGAAGCTGCTGACAGGAAGTCCCATATTCTGTGCTGAGGAACAGAATACCGGTAGGGCAGCACCCTGCTCGTTTAATATTAGTTTAGGGCAGAGAGCAGTTGTACCCCAGATACTCATCTGTCCTCAAGAACAGTAAATAGTTTCATCTCTGAACAACTTTTTTTTTGAGAGGTTTTTGCCTTATGATATGTGTACCTCACTGGAGAGAGACAGAGACAGCGAGAGGGAAAGTGAGAAAGTGAATATGTGTTCACCAGAGAGAGACAGAGTCAGAAAACAAGGAATCACCCCCCCCCCGGGAGATGGCCACACCACAGTCCCTTCTCCTCCATTTTCCTCTCAGGATCTTGGGCACGCACACGCATGTGCCCAGCCTGAGTTTTTAGCTGCCAGGTCTGGGACGTGAACCACGGTCCATTACATTGGAGTTCAGTGACATAGCCATTACACCATCTGCTGGTCCCTGAGGAAGTATTTTTTCTAAGCCTTATTTATTTCCTTCCTTCCTTCCCAGATATATTATAAAAGTAATATATTCTCACCATCAACTATATAAAGTATATGAAGTTCCTCCCCCAAATCCTACTCCTCCGAGGACCCAACTATATTAGCAGTTTTATTCTTCTCCAGTTTTATGGGTCACACATGATCATATATCTATTAGATTTTGAAATTAACTGCATTTTTCAGCTTAATTTATAAGTTGGTCCAACAAGTATACTTCAAGCCAAGATGTTTTTGAATAGGTAAACTATAATACTTTTATTACATTTTCTTCTATCATAACCAGCTTTTTTATTTTTTTAAAGAGTTGTTTTAATTTTAGTCATTGTTGTTATTATTATTATTATTTTAAGTTGACCAGAGAAAGAGAAGGAGAATGAGAAAGCAAACTGCCAGGTCCAGGACTTGAACCACAGTCAGCCATGTGGGAGTTCAGCCACCCTAACTGCCACACTACCTGCTGGCCTCTATAACCAACTTTTTTAAAATATCAAATTTTGGGACCAGCAGTTAGCGTAATGGCTATATCGCTGGACTCCCATGTAGTTGACCGCAGTTCGAGTCCTGGATCCGGTGGCTTAAAACTCACCCCGGGCACGTGTGCGTGCATGCCCAAGATCCCAAGAGGAGAATAGAGGAGAAGGAATTGCGGTGTGGCCATTCCCCCTGGGTGGGGGGGGTGATTTCTTGCTTTCTGTCTCTCTGTCTCTGTCTGTCTGGTGAACGCATGCACCTTATGGCAAAAACCTCTCCCCCCCCAAAAAAAAATCAAATTTTGGTGACCAGCAGGTGGCATGGTAGTTGGGGTGCTAGACCCCCACCTGGCCAACCATGGTTTGAGTGCCAGACCTGGCGGCTTACTTTCTCTCTCTCTCTCTCTCTCTCTCAAAAAAACCCATCCCCCCCCCCCTTTGGGAACTAGCCCGTCTAACCCGTGAGTGAAGCTGAGACACACTGGATGGGACTGGGCTTTCGCAGCATCAATTGCCGATGCTTAGGGATGAACCGAGAGCTGTAACCAGAAGCCAAAAAGCAATTTGGTGGGAGGATCTAAAGAGAAGGGAACTTCCGGGACCAGCAGTTAGCGTAATGGCTATGTCGCTGGACTCCCACGTAGTAGACCGTGGTTTGAGTCCCGGACCCAGTGGCTTAAACTCATGCTGGGCGCGTGTACGTGCGTGCCCAAGATCCCAAGAAGAGAATGGAGGAGAAGTGATTGCGGCATGACCATCTCCCCCGGGGGGTGATTTCTCACTTTCTCTCTCTCTGTCCCTCTCTGGCTAGATTAAAATAATATAAATTAAAATTTTTTTAAATAATTATTTTATTTAATTTTATTTTATTTAAATTTGACCAGAGAGGGACAGAGTGAGAGAGAGAAATGGAAAGTGAGAAAGCAAGCTGCAAGGTCTGGGACTCGAACCGCGGTTGGCCAAGTGGGAGTCAGTGCTCTTAACCACCACAGCACCTGCTGGCCCCAAAGTAAATCATTCTAAAAAAAAGGAAAAAATCAAGTTTTGTCTAATGTATTTACTTCAGCTTTACATAGGCTGGTATTCGTGAGGCCTGTGGCTATTTTGATGACAGTGAGCCCAGGAGAGGATAGCAACTTCCTCGTGTTTCTACAAACCAGGTCAGCAGGGGGACTTGGCGAGAGGACTCTGGCTAACCGTTTAGAATACACGTGCGGAAAGTGAAAACTGGCTTGAGATTGGGGCTGTAAAGGTGGGGCGAGGGCCAGTCAGTGGCCTGGTGGTCAAGGCGACTGGATCCCACATGACCCACCATGGGACTCAGCAGCTTGGAAAGCATGCCAGGCAGGTGTGCATGCGTGCCCAAAGACCAAAGGAAGGGAGGAATAGAGGAGGAGGGATTGGAGTGTGGCCATTGCCCTTGGGAGGTATTTTCTCTTTCTCTCACTGATGAGTGCATGCACCCTTTGGCAATTTTTTTTTTTTTTAATTTTTTTTTGGAGAGGTTTTTGCTATAGGGCACGTGCACTTGCCAGACAGACAAAGAGAGACAGAGAGATAGAAAGCAAGAAATCACCCCCCGGGGGGATGACCACACCACAATCCCTCTCCTCCATTCTCCTCTCGGGATCTTGGGCACGCACGCACACGTACCCGGCGTGAGTTTAAGCCACCGGGTCCAGGTCTTGAACCGCGGTTGACTACGTGGGAGTCCAGCAACATAGCCATTACGCGAACTGCTGGTCCCCTTTAATATTTTTTTTAAAGTGGGGTGGGGCCCAACAGATGGCGTGGTGGTTAAGGACGCTGAATTCCCACATGGCTGACTGTGGTTCCAGTCCCAGATCTGGTAGCTTGCTTTCTCACTTTCTCTCCCTCCCTCTCTTTCTCACTCTCTCTCTCCTTTCTGGTCAAATTAAAATAAATGAATAAAGTTAAAATAATTCAATAAATAAAGTGAGGCTAAAGAAAAGTGCAGTTTGTGCGCATACTTATAAAGACGTGGGATTACAGTTCTATAATCTTTTCCTTTTTTTTGCCACAGTATTGAAAAGAAATAAAAACAGAGCTGGAATTTATGGTGAGGCTGTCTTCTTCAGCTTTAGGGATGTTGAAAAGGAAGACCAGCGTTACCTGGAAATAGTTTTTAGAGTAGCGGCATAAAGTCAAGGGCACTGCCTCAGAGGAGCCCGGAAGTAGAGAGGGAGTCTCTGTCCTGTCCTTCCCCACCCCACTCACCCTGCTCCTGTCAGCCCTGTGTTCCTGCCTGTCATCACTGCGCCCTCCACAGGACCTTTAGACCAAACAAGAGACAGCAAGTGCGAGGCACTCAGAGGGTGGGGGTAAAGGCGGCCAGGGAGGCTATAAAATATAGAGCAGTTTGAAAAAAGGGAGAGGATTATGTGTGGTTTGACTCGGATAGGAAAGGTCTCAGATCAGGGGCCTTCGGCAACCAAGTTCATAGGAAATGATATCAAAACATATCATATGGGCCAGCAGTTGGCATGGTTAAGGTGGCTGGATCCCACATGGCTACTACATGGTTTGAGTTCCAAACCCAGTAGCTTGAAAATGCACCGGGCACGTATGCATATGTGCCAAAAGTCCCAAGAGGAGAAGGGATTGCAATGTGGCCATCCCCCCGGGGAGTGATTTTTCACTCCCCACCCCACCCCCGTCTCTCTCTGGTGAGTGCACACACCCTATAGCAAAAAAAAAAAAAGTCTCTGTCCTGTCCTTCCCCACCCCACTCACCCTGCTCCTGTCAGCCCTGTGTTCCTGCCTGTCATCACTGCGCCCTCCACAGGACCTTTAGACCAAACAAGAGACAGCAAGTGCGAGGCACTCAGAGGGTGGGGGTAAAGGCGGCCAGGGAGGCTATAAAATATAGAGCAGTTTGAAAAAAGGGAGAGGATTATGTGTGGTTTGACTCGGATAGGAAAGGTCTCAGATCAGGGGCCTTCGGCAACCAAGTTCATAGGAAATGATATCAAAACATATCATATGGGCCAGCAGTTGGCATGGTTAAGGTGGCTGGATCCCACATGGCTACTACATGGTTTGAGTTCCAAACCCAGTAGCTTGAAAATGCACCGGGCACGTATGCATATGTGCCAAAAGTCCCAAGAGGAGAAGGGATTGCAATGTGGCCATCCCCCCGGGGAGTGATTTTTCACTCCCCACCCCACCCCCGTCTCTCTCTGGTGAGTGCACACACCCTATAGCAAAAAAAAAAAAAAGAGAGAGAGAGAGAGGGAAAGAAAAGAAAAAAAGAAATCACAAAGACTATGAGAAAAAAATGATTTTTTTATGGAGGAGAAATAGTTTGAAGGTCACTTAATTAGTTTAGTAGATAGTACCATGGTGTATAGAATTGGGTAGTTAAGACTGGGATTTCAAGGTTAATGAGATTAGATTATGGTTAATAGAATGATATAAATTTAGAGAATTTAACCATTATTTGAAATAGGTTATTTAATAAAAATGTTAATTAAGAAGGGAATCTGCTGCTATTGTCCTTTAGTGGTAACCTTTAGGGACTAGA